CAAAAATTCAAGTGGACGTGGCCTGATTCCTTTAGATTGTCACTGTGAATTTAAAATTTGGTCAGCCTGATTAGACATGTTAGAAATCACACCCGGTCTGTCTCCTGTGTTTGAGGAAGCTACACTTTTTCTCACTTGCCTTATCAGAGGAGTATATGGCGAATCTCTGGTGTTTTCTATATTAGGATTATTGTGAATAAATCCATTTGATTTGCCATGATCCCTTGATTGTAAATCATAAAAATAATTCCTACAGTTTCTCTTTATATGACCTGGCTTGTTACAATAGAAACAGACCAGACTATGTGTCGAGTTTCTTTCATAGTGTGAGTGGGGCATATTAAAACTTGGAGCGTCTCTCCTCTTTGTCTGAGTTCTAACAGCTGCAGGAGGCGAGGGAGGAGGGGACTTTCTGTATCTGGGTTTGTCCTCTCCCCTTTCTCTCCTAACTGCACAGACAGATTTCTTAACAGTTTATTGTCTGGATTCCCTTCTCACTATATAGAAATGACGCAGCGTCTTCAATATTTTGACACCGGAGAGCGCATGCAATTGATATTGGATCAAGATATTTAAATTTTTTTACAAATGCATTTATCATAGATTTTGGTGTCTGATCATCAGGAATACTCATTACCAATCTGTATGCACGCTCAAATTTTAAAAGGAATCTGAAGACATCTTCATTTATATTCGGTTTTAATTTTTCTAAACTCTCAATATCCACATGCTCATTTCCTGTTGTTAATCTTATTAATTGTGTCAATCTATCTCGCTCATTCCCATGGACTATTTCACCATCTTCATCATTAGGGGTACTTATGGGTGGAGTCAGTCTACGTGCAATGTATGTTGGCAGCCATATTTTAAACAATCTGTTCCTTTGTTCGTCATTCAAATTATGTTTAGATAAATTAGACTCAAATACGTCTGCATTACCAAAGGCATCCATTGATGGATTATATGGGGGAATATCTTTGGTAACTTTCATCAGCTGCTCTTGAATTTTTAATTTAAGTTTTGCAGCCTTATCTAACAATTTTCTACGTTGTAAATCAGACTGGGATGATATTTCTGTGACATCAACTGGCTCTGGTATCACATTATGATCACTCCTTGTAATCACACACAACTGTTTGGCTTCAGTTCTAAGTTTACAAATGAATTCAGATTTAAGATCCAGCTGTTCTCCCAAATCACAAATACTTGCCTGTAGTCTATCACAGTTAGTACAGATTTCTCTTTAATGTCTGTCTGTGTACTTTTTAAATCTTGCACTTCTATTTGTGCTGGTACTTGCAATTTTGTTGGAGCCACTCCTGTTCTAAGGATCACTGTGTCAAAGGTTTCTACCAATTTTAAAACATTTCTAATTTTCTTTTTTGTTTTATTTAAACATAACAATTTATTATCAATAGCTGAATTTGCTTGTTTACATTGCTCATACAAACTTGCCCACAATTGACTATCTGTATAGCATCTATTAAACACAAAATCAAGTTTACTTTTCTCTGCAATATCAGTAACAAAATCCATTATTACTCACCAGACAAGTTGATCTTTAATGCACGACACCGTCTGCTTTTAGTCTGCTTTTTACTCGTACAGCTGCGCAGTTCTGGGCTTGATTCTGGACGCTTGCCAATCTCTGCCACGTGCTTGCTTCTAGACTTCACGTTGTATCTTGTGCTGCTTTCTTTATACCACGTGCTTTTGTCTGTTGTAGAATATAATCTTAGAACAGTCTTTGTGATTTGAAAATCTTTGTCTTCTGATAAACACACACAGCTCTTAGCTTTTAACACGGTTCTTTTTTTCTGTTTCTGGCTGCACACACTTCTATTCAACACAAAGAGTAATTCGATATCTGTCCTCTCTCTGCTCAACTTCCCCCCTGAATAGAAGTTTGTAACACCAGAAAACAGTCTGGCTGGCTTGTCAATGTAATAACTGGCTGTGCTTTTCTTTAGTTGAATAAGTCTTTTATGTATATATATATATATATATATATATATATATTTCTTCTTTTGGGTCAGGCTCGCCACAATAATATATGTCTATATTATTGAAAAGTACTAATATGCAATCTGATGTTTTTTATAAAAAATAAGTATTTATTCTACATTCAACAGCAAACAATAATATACTTAACAGATGGTATTTCTTAACGACGTTACAGAGAGTCGTCTTTGTATCAGCAACTCAGGACATCAGAGAGGAGAGCAAAACGGATCGTAAAAGGAAGAGAGCGTAGTCCTTTGTCCTTGGCTCTATATAGCCCAAATTACGTCATAACGTTTAATTTAGACTCTGCCATATAAGGAAGTTCCCTATATAAAGACCACCTCAAATCTCTTATACAGCAAATTCCAGAGACCCCATGGTACAGAATAGCAAACGCCATCTGTTCTGTTTAACCCATTAGACAACCACACCTTAATATGTATTTGAATAGGAACATATAGAATATGCAATATTCTACAGCTCCACAATAGCGGCCTTCACCGTTTTATTTGTTATAAAGTGTATAATCTCACATTTTTTAAAGACTGCTTTTACACTCTTGTTAAGGAATTATTTGCCTTTGTCCGTTTGCAACTTTTGAGGTACACGACCCGTTACAAATATATTCTGAAAAGCAGCAGCAACGGTTTTTCCTGATTTATTCTTCAAAGCCACTGTAACGGATCGCCTGGCACCCCGACTGGGTACCTCAGTTGAAGGATGCTCCTAGCGCTTCCTGAGGACTCCAAGCACTCTGGCAGACACCACATTCACCGAACCGGAGAAACAAATAAATTCTCCCAAGCATATGAATGCTGTAGACAGTTGAATAGGAACCATACGAATAGGTTTACTCTCCTAGCAGTCAAACTGGAACAGCATACAATGAATCCTTGCCCCAATAATGAGACGACACTTCACTTTGAGGGTTAAAACAGGAACTTTTTGTACTGTCACATACAGTCTCTTTTATTCCCAGTCCACAAACATAGTACAGCCCACGGGGCGTTACAAAACAGCCAATCAATCCATACAATACACCCAGACACTCCCACACAAAATCTTCCCCTCTGGCTGTGATATGATTACTGAACACAATGGGTAATCTAATTATCACAGCCAGAGAAATACAGTTTCATAAAACACATCACAGGGACCCCAAAACATGCAATAACCCCATAAAAAGTATATCCTTGGAACTGGGGGATCTGGGTGAACCACATATCCAAAATTCACCCAGATCCGTTCAGAAAATACAGTTTAGGGGGGCGTGTCTTGGCCACCATCTTAGATGGCCACGTTATAGAGAGGCTCCTGGACAAGGGGGACAATTTTGTTCCTAAAGCGACAATTCTAATCTGAATGTACCAATTTTAATTGAAAATACAAAAAGTCAACTTAGCACTGATCATGCAGAAGCAAAAGAAAACAGAAAAATCCGTTCCTGGGACGAAGAAAATGGAAGCAGGAGCGGCTGGGGTGAGTAAGGGTTCCCAGGCTCGCTCCCCTGCTTCCAGATCCTCCTCGCGGCTTGTTTCGCCGCTTAAACTATCGTTGGTGGCGTCGGGGAAATCCCTCCCTACCTCCCTCCCGGTCTCCCGCCCGGTCTCCCTCCCCAAAACTTATGCTTGTGCGGCCGCGACCCGTCCGCAGCTTCCTGAGGGCGGCGGGACCGCGACCGCACTAGCCGGCACTTCTGTGTGCGGCTCAGAGTGCTCCGAGCACTCGGCATGCTCGGAGCACAGTGCTGTGTCTCCCGCGAGCGGCAAGGACCTCCCTGCAAGCCGCTCGCGGTCTCACTCCAGAGCAGCCCGGTCGCTCACTTACAAAAGCGACCGGGTTGCAAGTAAAGGGGAGGGCAGTGCGAGGTCACGCTCCCCGTCGGGATCCTCAGCCTCCAGGCTGTCGGTCCCGGCGGGGGGGGCCTCTGCTGTCCGACCCAAAGTATTTAAAGGGGCAGCAAGGGCTACAATAAGCCCAGATGATAATTCAATGGAAATAGGGGCTGAAGTGCTCCAAAAAAGTGCTTTCTCTGCACTACCACAGAGAACACGTTATGATGCCACAACAAAGATGGCTGACAGTCCAGATACTGTATATTCCACTTCCAAGATGGCCGCTGCCACCTCCAATATGGCTACTACCACATTTAAAGCTGCGACCTATAATCCTAATATGCCACTTGAATTGGCAGCAGACCTGCCACCGTCAGCTGGCATGATAATTCAACTTATTAAAGATTTGAGAGTTGATTTGAAAAATGACTTTAAAAATTACTTTGACACATTATATGGAGCCATGGAGGGCATTAATCAGCGTACAGAAATAATAGAGAATAAATTGCATTCTCAAGAGCAATCTCATCTGGATTTGGTTGAAACCGTAAAAGAGCTTCAAAAGCAAGTGCACCAACAAGCAGAAAAGCTTGCCGACGCTGAAGATAGAAGTAGGCGTAATAACCTAAGGATCAGGGGGATCCCTGATAATATCGACTCCCAGGAATTACAAAGCTATTTCCAGACAATGGTGAAGTCAGCTCTACCAAACGTAAAAAATACGGATTTATTACTGGATCGCATCCACAGATTGCCCAAACCCGGCAATGCTCCTCCAGCTGCACCCAAAGACGTGATAGTGAGATTCCACTACTATCACATTAAAGAAGAATTTCTAGGTGCAGTACGCACGTCAGGTCTCACAGGAGATTACAGCAGCATGAAGGTCTTTCAAGACTTTTCTGCTCAAACAATGAAGCGACGTAGGGAATTTCAACTTTTCACTGCAGAGCTAAGACGAAGAGGGATAAGATATAGATGGGGATTCCCGGTTAAAGTCCTTTTCCGTATGGATGGTCGGAATTTTATAGTCACGTCGCCTGAAGAAGGAATGGAACTCATCAATACTATGAATGGACGTCGGGTTTCGCCTCATAGACTCTCGCCATCTACTCCTGTTCAGGCCAGCAAGAGAAGCAAATCAGACACTTCCTGAGATCCCAGCTCAAAGAGACATAGTCTTCCTTTTCTATGGTCATCATTGAGTCCTGCTCCAGTCCGGCGATTTATCGGGATTACTTTGAATTTTGATCTGTTTCTCCTTTTTATGACAGACTTCTGAGTTCTTCCACTAACGGTTATTTGTCCTGTGCCTTTTTCGGTTTATTTTAGAAACTGATCCTTCTATTTAAAACTTTCTATACTTATACAATCAAAATATTTTTTATTTTTTTTATATATAATTTCATATTTATTTAATTTTATTATTTTTTTATTTTATTTTATATATTTTTTTTTTTTTTATTGTTCTGTGCTTTTTACCCTTTCAATTGTCATATTTAAAAAGTTGCTTTTTGTTTTTTTACTACCTATATTAGCTCCCCCTGCACCCAGTAGCCTTCTCTCCCCCCAACCTGGGCCTAACACCCTGAGATGGAGAAACTTTTTTTGTTCTCCCTCATGGCCCTCTTTCACTGTTTTTGTTTCACCCCTGATAGGGGTATATATCCAAGTTTTTTGTTCCCCTTTTTTATTTTTTTATATTTTTTGTCCATTCATCATTTAAAGTTCAGTAGAAATGTTTTTAGACCACGAAACACTGCAATGCTTCATACAAAAATGCATAATACGTGGCATCAGCAAATTGTAATCATCTGTTTACTCATTATTCCTGTACACACAAGTACACAGCTTGAGTTTGCTTTAATAGCTTTGTTGGACTTGCATGTTTCTCTCTTGGAAGGTGGTGGCTGGGACTCTCACAAGATTGAATGTTCCTTTACCCTTTATCAGTTATTACTGTTCTATAAACCATGGTCTTAAAATATATGTCATTTAATGTGAGAGGCCTGAACACCGCCCACAAGAGACGATTATTATTCAAAGAAGCAAAATCCAACGAATCAGATGTGATTTGTGTACAGGAAACACATTTTAAAGATGATAAAGACCATAAAATCATGTCAAAGCTTTTCCCAGTTCAATACCATTGCACTTATAAATCCAAGTCTAGAGGTACTTCGATTTTTTTTTCACAGGAATGTAGCATGCTTGACAAACAAAGTTATAACGGACGATGACGGGAGGTATTTAATATGGATAGGATCACTCAATACTATTGAATATACTATTGTGAACATGTATTTTCCAAACACCGGTCAGTTGCAGTTTTTTAGGAAATTGATGGACTTAGTGAATGAGAATGTGAGAGGCAACTTGGTAATGTGTGGTGACACGAATTTTGTGATGGATGGAGAGTTGGATAACGCTAGGGAAGACCGTGATCGACAGCTTAGAGGGGACAGTGACAGATTAGCGTATAAATGCTCCAGATATATGATTGAATGTGGCTTATACGATCCTTGGAGACTGTTGCATGAGAATGAAAGAGATTTTACGTATTATTCTGTCTCTAAAAATATGTATTCCAGGCTGGACCGGTTTATGGTCCAGGGTGCTTTAATTCCTCACATCTTGAAATCTGATATCTTAAACATCAACTGGTCCGACCATGCTCCAATCATAATGCATATTGACGAAATTGTTTCATCAGCCCCTAACAGAACTTGGAAATTAGGTGATTATTTGTTAAATGATGTTGTGAATAAGTCACTGACGGAGAAAGCTTTGTGTGATTATTTTTCGGAGAATGCCTCGCCCGAGGTTCCTGGCGAGGTGACTTGGAATGCGCATAAGGCTGTGTTAAGAGGTCATTTTATTTCTAGAGCGTCTTACCTGAAGAGAATTAATAGCAATAATTTAAGAACATTGGAAAAAGAACTGTATAATTTGAACCAAGCTAATAAATTTGGTCCATCGTCCTCCCTATCAGCAATGATAGGAGAAATTAAGGCTAAAATAAACAAAATTAATTTAGATCGTACATCTCTTATGGTGAGACGTCTCAGGAAAACATTTTACTTAAAAGGTAACAGGGCCTCAACTCTTTTGGCATCCAAACTCCGGCATGTGAATGCCCAATCAAAAATAGCATATTTAATTGATGATCAGGGGCAAAAAGTGTTTCATCCAACTAAAATGATATGTTCGCAGAGTATTATAGTAAACTTTATAATTTATAATGTAATTTGGACCTCCCCCAGCCTTCTACAACAATAATTGATAAATTCTTAGACAGAGTGTCATTGCCTCGGCTGTCTCCAGTACATTTAGAAAGCTTAGAATGTGAAATATCAGCAGCAGAGATAGCTGAGGCAATTAAACTTATGCCATCTGGAAAAGCCCCTGGTCCCGACGGATTAACTATTTTATATTATAAAACTTTTCCAGAAATTTTAATTCCCCATATGACTAAATTGTTCAATTCCTATAAGTCAGAGGGAAAGATGCCAGAGGAGTCCTTGTGCGCACGAATAGTCACTTTGCCAAAGCCGGGAAAAACTCCCGATAGATGCCCTAACTTCAGGCCCATTTCTCTGATTAATAATGATTCAAAGATTTATTCTAAGGTTCTCGCTAATAGATTAACCAAACTAATCCCATTGTTAATTAATAAAGATCAAGTAGGTTTTGTGCAGAATAGACAGGCGCCAGACGGAACTAGAAGATTCATAAACTTGATTCAGCACATCAATATGACCAAAACGCCTTCTTTGCTTCTATCTCTAGACGCAGAAAAAGCGTTTGACAGGATACATTGGGGATATTTATGGAGAACATTAGATAGGTTCAACATACCATCATCATTTATTACAGCAATTAAGGCGTTATATTGCGCACCCTCCGCCCATGTCTCAGCTTCTGGCTTCACATCCAAAACTTTTTCTCTAACCAACGGGACGAGACAGGGGTGCCCTTTATCTCCAATTTTGTTTGTTTTAGCGATAGAACCCCTGGCAGAACTGATTAGGACAACCCCACAAATTGTAGGAATTGCGGTTAAAGAATCCGTTCACAAAATTGGTTTGTTTGCAGATGATATAATCCTAGCTATTAAAAACCCAAAAGAATCTTTGAGACACCTCAAGGATATTTTAACTCAATTCGGTGAGATATCGTATTACAAATTAAATGAGTCCAAAACTCAAGCCCTTCCGTTTCATTTAAACAATTTGGAAACCATTGCCCTTAAGAAATCATATTTATTTGATTGGAGAACTGATTATATGGAATATCTTGGCATTAATTTATGCAAAAATTTGGTTAATATGCACAATCACAACCTGAGGAAAGCATGGTCAGACTTACAAAAAGAGATGGAGAGATGGGGTGGGATGGAGCTTTCATGGCTGGGGAGGGTCGCATCTATTAAAATGACGATACTCCCAAAAATTTTATATTTTTTTAGGACCATTCCTCTGTCCATTCCATTATCATTTTTTAATAAAGTTCATTCGACGATGTTGAAATTTATATGGGGGAACAAGCCTGCCCGAGTGAGGCTCACTTCCCTGCAGCACCATAAATCGAACGGCGGTATCGGTGTCCCCGATATCCTCAAATATTATTTCGCCACTAACGCTGCAGTGGTTGTGAGCTTTAACAACCAGGATGATAAACCCAGATGGATGGAGATAGAGGAATCAAAAATTTCACCGGTTAGGCTATTAGAATTACCTTGGTTAAATCCCAAGAAAAGACCTGGAATTACAAAATTATTTTTATCCACCAGGACTACGCTTAAGGCCTGGGACATTGTTTTTAAAAATGACCAGTCTCCCAGATTATATAGAGCAATGCCTATTGAATTATTGAAAGATCATATACCATCCTTAAAAATAGAATTATTAAAGGATTGCTCTATAACTAATCTGGACAATTTTTTCTATGGCAATGCTATTCTTTCTTTGGAAAAATTGAAGCTTAAGTATGGATTGTCGAATGCAT